AAAAAAAAAAGTACTATTAAGAACTGTAATCAAAGTTAAAGATGTACATAGTCAGAGAGTCAGCCAAGCTCATTCAACTTTTAGGTGCTACAATCTGAAAAGTGTCAAAACAGAAACAGATCAGATGATGGTACAAAGTGGGTCCTATAACAAGGTCATAGCAGTACAAACAGGACACCATGGAACTGCAAGGTTTTACATGTGAGTAGAAGAATAATTGACTGACATCTCCAACGTTAATTGAGTATTACATGTGATGCAGTTCTTTTATTTTGAAGTCAGTTAAAACAAAACAAAAAAATCAACAAATCTTATTGTTAGAAATAAATCTCTTTAGAATAAAATTGTGCTTTAAAATTAAACTTTCTATGCAAATTCTTTCATTAGAATTGAGTAAATTTGCCTGCTTACATATTTTATTCTGATTTCATAATGCCTCAGTGTTTTTTTGTAAACATGTTAAAACATGTGAGCTTTTGTTTTCTAGTCCTTTGTGTCATTTTGTTGTAAACAGAATAATAAAATGTCTGAATACCGTCTTCCTTCTCACGATTGAAGAAAGACAAAAAGGTTTTTATAATACCCTGGATAACTGCAAGCTTTATTGACGCAAACATGAATCATTAATATGACAAGTACAATCACAACCAGCTGCTGAGCTACACATGTCACTCTTTAGCTTGTTGTTCTTGTCAACACTTTACATCAGTTTCGTTCTCTCACACACAAAGCTTTATTTTCTTCTACAAACAAAAACACATATAGATCACAGAGGCAGGTGTCTTTCTCCAGCTCCCCACACACCTGGCTCCTGTGCTGGGCTTCAGTAACTCCTCTAGCCTTCACACCAGCTCCTGCTCAGGGACTGGGACTGTGTGTGGCCATGATGGATGACCTTACAGGAGTAAAGCTCTCCCTTCAACCAGCTTTTCTGGCTCAAGGTCAGGGTGCTGCTGCTGCTGTAGCGATCACTCTTCTTCTCCTCTGAGCTGGTCAGGACCCCTTCTGTCACCTCTCTGCCGTCCACCTCCCATCTCACCTCGGCTCCCTCTGAAGAGTAGCCGGTCAACAGGCAGGCCAGTGTGGTCGTGCACCCAGAGAGATCCTCAGGGGAGGGTTGAAGCAGAGAGACTGAGGGTCTGACCATGGGGCCAGCTGGAAGGGAGAGCAGGAACACACAAGGAGCAGATTAACTTCTGCTGTAGGACAGAGAGCTGAACATTACACAGTTATGATACATGACAGAGATTAACAGCATTGTGGAAGAAACGGAAAAATAACAATGACAAGTAATGACAAAGTTGGAATTTTCCCCTATGTCAAATATCTTTTTTTTTCTGAAATGAACTATTTTCCCCAGTAAACTTCACAGTTTAGAAAATATTTATCATAAAAGCGTTTGTGTTCAAATGGGTTTCTTTAAAAGAAAAAATAAAAAAAAATTTTAGGATTGTTTTCATATTTTTGCTTGATTAAAAAAGTAAAATCTACACTTACCAACCAACCTGCCATTTTAATCCAGATGTTAAAAAGAATCATTTTTCTGAAGTATTTTCCAGTGTTTCTTTAGAATCATAATCACGTCATAATAATTTATTTAGTTCTAAAAAATGTTGCTTCTCACATTGCTTTGTTGTTTGTTGAGAGCAGAGAAATCATTTCCATAGAGAGGAGGCTTTGCATTATCAGCTGATCCTCCAGAGAACTGAGAAGGTTTATAGTCCTGTGACTTC